CGGAATGCTGGGAAGAGTTTGTGTTTCTTAAAGATTGTAAACGCGATGGTGTCAGTGAGAAAGATGTGTCTTCTTCTGTGTCTACGACGGAAAAAAATGTGTCGTCTGAGATACCTTCTGCTGTTCCTATTGTACACTCTAGTCATCAGAAACCCTACTGAAGAGGCCTTGACAGGCGAAATGCATTTGGGGTGAAGTATATATTTATATAGAAATAAAATTATATTTTCTTTGTTAACCTGTTTACCTTTTTTAATTTTTTATACCAGTCTACGGACTCGGGACTTATTAAGCCTCCAAAGGTCAGAAACGAATGGAAAACTAGTAGTTTTCCGTGTACTAAAGATTAGTACAGTACGGTAATAATAATAAAAAAATAGATTATCTGACTCCATCGATTCTTTTTAGAATATTTTTATATAAATATTATTATTATTATGTGTATCATAATTTTTTAACTATCTTGGATAAATGTCATAATATAAAATATAAGTAAAGCCAGTATATCTAATATTTTATAGAATTATGATTAATGTAAATCAGGGGGTGTCCAACCTTTTTGTTTCTCTGGGCCATATTAGAAGTAGTCATGGAGTTTTGGGCCACAAGTACAGTGGAACCCCGGTTAACGAACTTAATTCATTCCACGACTCCGTTCGTTAACTGAAGCAATTTTTCCCATAGAAATTAATGCAAATGCAATTAATCTGTTCTAGTGTCCGAAATTTTTGTGATTTTATTTGCAATATACAGTAATTTTCTTTGATAAAAATGTATGAAAACATAGTATCTATCATTACAGCAACAAACATGTAAACTTTGTTTAATAAAATAGCACTGTACATATCTTTGTTTGTTGTAGTTGATGGCAGAAAAGTGGAGATATACGAACCTTAATGCCTTTTAGAAGGGGAATCCCCTCCAAAAAAATAACGGGTAGCACTTCATCGAAAGATTCTTTGAGTCGAAGTCTCTTTTGGTAAAAAAAACCCCATCAGTGGCTAAGTGGTCTTCGTACCTCGAACACGGGGAGTTCGTTCGTGGGTTATCACCTCGCTCAGACGGGCTGGCCACGTGGAGTTTTCTGGGTTTACTCCACGTCTGTAACGCCTAAATAGGGGCCAGTTTCCCTTAAAAACACCTGCCAGAAGGCATTCCCCCTAGACAGATTGCCCAAGTGTTGCGTTACCATAACTTAACAAACTCTTTCCATAAGGAACAAGAAATTGGTCTAAAGTTGATTGTCTTACTCTTTTAATCAAAATTTTTCTCAAATGCGATAGTGCATTGTCGTTTATATTGCGTTATAATTTTCTATTGCCACTATGACTTTTTCTTTCTTGGATGCCATATTGATTAAATATATGAATCAGAAAACTGAAAAAAGAAGTATAGCACAAACACTCGGAAAAGCAATGCTTAACTCATGCATGCCTAACACCAACTAAAATTTGACACAAAATACCATTACGTTCGTTATCTGAGACAAAATTTTTGCAAAATAAAAGTTTGTTACCGATTTGGTCGTTAACCAGGACGTTCGTTAACCGGGGTTCCACTGTATATATAATATACTTTTGGCCAATCCTTAAATATACAAGTACAATAAGACCCTGATTAACGCTGCCTCACTTAATGCTGATTCGATATAATGCCATCTGCTCGAAGCCCGAAAAAAAGCTCAAAATTTATGCCAATTTAAATTATCGTGGCATTTTATTCATTCATACATAATACAATTATTTATGAACATGAACTAATCAGCAAAAGATGGCAAAAAGGTATACTTTCTTTAACTCTATGTTTGTTTGGTGCAATTTTGGAAAAAATATAACATCAAGGATGCCATAGGCAATATAGGCTTTGCTTGGCAAGAATTAACTGATAAATGCACAAATGAGGTATGGAAGAAGTTATGGCTGGATATATCCAAGAATTCTCAATGAGAAGAGCCTATCGCTGTATTTTTAGGTTGATCAAACTCAATCTAATCGATACAGCAGGACTAGGAGATGTAGACTAACAGGATATTGAGGAGTTACCACAGGTTTCTGGTGAGAGTCTTATTAACGATGACCTTCAAGAACTGGCACAACAAGGAATCCGTGTAGAACTGGAAAATAGTGATTCTGAAAACAAAAAACTCAAAAAATTTCTCTACAGATTTCCTTAGTAAAAGTTTGGTAACAATAATCAAAATCATTGATCAAATTGTAGCAAATGATCCAGATTTTCAAAGGAGTGCAGAAGCAAGACAAGGCATTTTGGATATGATTTCTTGCTATCAACATTTGCTTAAGGAAAGAAAAAAACGCGACAAATAAAAGTACACAACTTTATCATGAAAAAACAAGAATTTCAGAAAAGTCAGGACCTTTGTGACAAAAATGAACTATTAATATAGAAAAAATGAACTAATTAATATATTATTATACATTTCTGTGTGCACATGTTTGTGTTATTTAACATATATTATTATACAAATTAATATAAAAATAACTTAAAGTAAAATTTTTTTATTTTTGGTTGCGTGTTCCCCTATCCCTATTTACTCTATGTTAAAATAACCTCTTTTAATGCTGTTTTGTTTAGCGCTTTGTCATCTAGGAACCCATCCCCCGTGTTAAGCGGGGTCTTTCTGTATATTTAAGGATTAACATGTCTAGATTATAGTACTAAGTATTAAAACTTTATCACGAAAAAGGATATTTAAAAAAAAAAACATCTACAGATACACTTTTAACTTTTTACTTAAAAATAGATATAATCATTTATTATAAAGGAGACAAACAAAAATTTATTTGAAAAACACAAATATTTGTTTTATTTGAATCTCTAATTAATAATAAATGATGAAACACCATTTTTAAAGTGCATTTTTATTCAATTAATATATTTATAAATAATATGTAGCCCAAAAAGTAGCCAATGTGCCAAATGACATTTTTTATGCCAAACTAAAAAACAGGTTGCCAAATTTGATGCAATGTAGCCAAATCTTGCAATGCTGGAAGAATACTAAATGAAGTGAGGAAGGTTGGAAAATTAAGTGTCAATATTTGCATAATAGAAGGTCTATTTAACCTTTCTCACTACTTTTTATCTTTTGGCCTTTCTCTCCTTTCCCCGAATTTGGGTCTATAATCCTTTGTCACAACTCCAGCTTTATTTAGTATTCCTCATTCACACATTTCCAAGTATTCAAAAATATGTCCTTTCTACTCAAAAATAAAATATGTATAAAGGTTTATGGCTTTGTGAAACTTCTTTTTTGAGTTTATGCCATTAAAATAAATAAATAAATAAAATTTAAAAATTTGTCGGTTTTGTTTAGATGTTTATTGGGCCGCATTGGAACTTGCCTCGGGCCGCGGGTTGGACACCCCCGATGTAAATCATTCTTTTATTAGGAAGAAAAAAGAGATAAGGCTACTGTAAACTATAATGTATGAAAATAATTTGAATATTATAAAATATTATATTGAATGTTATGTTAAATAGCAACTTCTTAAAGATTGTAAGTAGGAGGAATATATTTTTACTTTATAACATTTTAATAAATTTTAAATTAATTTTTACATCAGTAAAATTAAAGGAACTGAAGAGGGAAAAATGCCCAAAATGCATATTCCTATATGAAAGAGTACCTCTTGTTGAATGTGGATTCTGAAAAACTATTACATGAGTTTCATTGAATATACAATCTGACATCTTTTAAATCTTAATAAATTCTTCATAGAAAAATCTGATTTAAAAAATCTTTATACCTTTATAATTAATACTTTTATACCTTTATAATTAATTATTTTATACAATAACTTTTTATATTTTCGTAATTATAACTTTAAATTTAAATAATTTCAAGATAATTATTTTAATGTTTTATTTGATATAAAAAAATATTGAAATTAATATAAAAAACAACCTTTTTCATAGATTCTTCACACCATTCATCCATCCACTGAACACTGCAACATTTATACAAAGAAGGATTTCCTTCACAATGTAAATGAAAATCAGAACTGGTAAAATCCATTACTAAAACAATATGAAGATTTTTTTTAACTTCTGAAAAATATTAAAAAAATTTTTAAATTATTAATATTTTCTGTGTAATTTAAAATTATTTTAAAAGTACTTTTTAATATAAATGAAATTTTTAAGTAGCGTTAAAGATTTTTTATATTGTATAAAATAAATTTAAGAATCTGAACTTTTAAAGTTTTTGAATTTTTGTAATTTTTACATAATTTTATAAATAATATTAGTTAAGGTAATTTGTTAATAAGTATTATTCAAAAATTAAATTTTATATCTTATTCTTAAATAAAAACAGATTGATTGCATAAGTTATTAAAATATAATATTGAAATTAAAACCTCATCCTGCTTTAATTAATGTAATACATTTTTATAAAGCTATTCAGACATATTATATAAATGAAGTTTTAGTTTAGAAAATTTAAATGGCAAATGGAAATTATGATTCAGATGGATTATATAAAATAAATATGATTTATTGTTACTGAAACATCATTGTCTACAATTAATTATAAAACAAAAAATAAAATCAATATTTTATTGATACCCAAATTTAATGAAATATTTTAAAATACTAATTTATATTTTCTATAATTAAAAAAATTTCAGTAAGGCTACAAGAATTTTCAATAATTATAATTATTATTGACATATTTTATTTTTTTGTATTGTGATCAAATTTTCAAAATCTTAATTTTTCTTGAAGCTATACATAATATAAAAATATAGATCAGTGGGGCAAAAATTATGGCCCTAGGCCAAATCTGGCATGTCGCACACGATAATCTGGCCAACAAACAAATTTAACCAGATAAACATGTATTATGATATAAGCCTACTTTTTGCATATATAGAATGTATAAAATATTTATGGCCTATCTACCAACAAATTATATGCCATTTAGCCCATCAATTGAAAAGTTTTGTCACTACTAGTAAGCCTATAGATGGATGACTAAACAAGAACTTAACAAGCTCAGCTTATTGCTCTGAGGAGCTTGGGTTTGAGTTCAAGTAGAATATTCATAAATTTTCATGAGTTGTTTGACTTAAATATTTTAGGTCCTGTCTCTTGCCACCTGGTTCCCTATTGTATACTAATTGAACCCAACCAAAATGAGTATGAAAAAAGTCTCTAAATGATCCTAGACAGAATTAAAAATTATTATAATGTATCATAATTATTTATTCTTTTTAATATGTAAAAAGAATGATTTGCTTTTTTATGGAATCAAGATCAATTATTTGTGAAAAAGACAGATGATAAATCAAAATTGTATGATATGTTATGTACCAGATGATTTCAACTTATGTGCCATAAGTTTGCCACCTCCGCACTACAATACACACTTGTCCCTAATGCTTTGCCTACAATCACATGATGCTTCTCTGCACTATATCCTGTATTGTGTGACTTACGAAAAATCCTGTATAAAATCAGTGTGTGTGTGTTTTTTTTTTTGAAGTTAATCTTTGTCAGTTTTACATAGTTTTGTTGTGTGTTCTAGAAAATTAAAATATTAAATATTATACAGATATTTAAAATTCTTATTTTTATATATACACTAGCTTCAAGGACCCACTTCGCTGGATTTTTATTTGTGGGCAAAAAGTAACGATAGGGAAGATTAAGATAATTACGTTATAGCCAATCTTACCCGTTTTCACAGAATGCAAGAATTAGGTCCCCCGTTTCCAGACTAATTAGAGACCTGGTCCCGATTCTATTTCTGAACGTCTCCTGTTCACGTCCAGTCAAACGAACTATTTTNAAAAAAATCGAACAAAACATTCGAAATAGAAAGCCACTTTCAACTACTTTTAGCCTCATATCTCCCGCACCCTTATAGCTATCGAGACGCAACCACCCCTATGCACAAATGGAGACTTGGGGCTACTACCACATACAAACACCATTCACGTGCGATGTGTAGTTTTGGCAAAAAAGTGAGATATAGGGACATACATGTTCATTTTTATATATATATATAGATATATATAGATAATAATAATATAGTTAATAAAAAATAACTATACAAAGATGGTTCATCTGTAATGTGTAGTTTTGGCAAAAAAGTGAAATATAGGGACATACACATCCATTTTTATATATATATATAGATATATATAGATATATTAAAATGAAGTATACAACAGCATATACAGTAATTATAACAACAGGTTTTTGTCCATTTGTATATTGAACAATCAGTGCTGGTAAGTGTTAGTGTGCCAAAATTGTTAATTTGATAGAACATGGACTGAGGTTTTGGACCATGAGTTCTGTCTGCATTATGTTGGGTTCCAAATATACTCTATAAAATCTTCAAAATATACAATAGACCTCCTATAACATGGGTTCATATAATGCGGATTCGTTTATCGCGGTGAAAAAATTGTGACCGTATTCGTATAAAGACGCTAACAGAGACTCGTAAAATGCAGTAAAACGTCATTGCCGACTTGTGTCGTGACAGGATTGGTCGAATCTGGACCAATAGTGGACAAGGAGCCAAATTACTTACACGCTACGGAGAGTTTAGGCGGGTAAGTTGAGTTTACTATCGTCTGTACAGTATATAAATTAGGTACTGTAAGTCTAATACAGTACTGTAATTTTATACATTTCTTATGAAAAAAAACATTTCTTATTCAACGGCCATAAAAATTATTTCTATTAATGATGTGTCCAAAGTTCAACAAATTTTTCACAGAAAAATAACTTATCAGAAATCGCGGCCACCGTTTGGTGTGCTGCTCTGTGACGAAAACAAGATTAAGCAATGGCAACATCAAACGGTGCACACTCAGTAAGTAATCCTACAATTTTTTGTTTATAGCACAGTTTATACGAATTATTCCCAAAAAATTATATGTGTTTTGGAAATGTTGAGTCAAATTAGTCTAGAATCGATTAATTTTATGGAAGAAACCATTCAAACAGCCATAGTCCCTAAACTGCACATGTGCTGGGCTATGATTGGCTCATGTATTTAAGGATTCCTACAACGCAAAATTCTTATAAAGCAGAATGTATCTACCACGTTATAGGCAGTTGACTGTACTGTATTTACTATGCTGTATATAAAATGCCTACTGAAGTAAATTGAACAACTTTTTCATTTATATTCATTTTTGTAATGCATTTAAATGAAAAATTGTTCAATCTACTTTCAATAATAGTTATTCTATATGAATTCTGTTTTTGTAATACTAATTAAGATACAGTCGACCCCCCTGTAACACTGTTGATAATTCCGTTTTATATGAATTCCATGTTGTACAAGTCACTTAGATTTTACAAATATGTGGGCTGGGCTGTGAACGGCTCATGTATTTGTAAAATCTAAGTGACTCGTACAATATGGAATTCATATAAAACAAAATCAACAACAGTGTTATAGAGGGATCGACTGTATATTATTGATAATTTAATTGATATTAACAAATAAATATTTGAAATTGATAATCATTAATTAAGTCTATAAAAATCTTATTAAAAATTTAGATTTATTAAAATAAACGTCCAAATTTTAAAATTTAATTTTGTTTATTATTATTCTGAACTAATTAACTGTTGAAACTAAATAAATAAATTATTGTAATATTTTAATTGTGTTAATTAACATGATAATAAATAAATAAATAAAAATGAAATTTAAAATTCTACTTTTTTAAACAATTTAGTAAATTATTAATTACTAAAAGAAAAATAATCCAAAAGAGATCCACGCCATCCTTCTTCTGATGCTTGATTACGCAATGGATTCATTAGTGATTCAAATTCTTCTGAATTATATAGACCAGGTATTTCACCTGATGCCAATAAACTATTAATCATTTCAAGAAATTCTGATTTTAATAACTGATAGTCTTCAATTAATAGAACAGTTTGTTGATTTTCTATAGCAGAACTTTGCATTAACTGAAAATAGAATTTTAAATTTATGTAAAATAAATTCAGCTTAAATTTATTTCTTTAAAACTAAAATTTTTATTTTAAATTTATTCATGTAAAGTTATTTGAAAAATCAACATTATTTTGTTTAGATATGTGTAATTAGTAGTTACAAAAATAATTCAAATTTTTTATTATTAACAAATCTAATTATCAAGTTTACCTAAATTTTAAAAATTAATTTAATGAGGTAAAATATAATAAAAAATAGAACGAGACTCTTTTCTGTTAATAATAAATAAAACATGATGATAAAGTTTTATTTAATCTGAAAAAATAATAAAGATAGTCGGTTTGAATACTTTTATAATCAAAGATATTTACTCAACCATTTAGTTACACTTTCTATCAAAATTATTCTATTTAGAATTCTAAAAGAAATTGCAATATTTAGAAAGAATTAAATTTATCAATAACATATATTCTCTATACACAATCATTATCTATATATATAAAAATGAATGTATGTGTGTCTGTCCTTCATGCATTACCACACCGTTTATCCGATTGCCATGAAACTTTGGGAAGTTGTTTAATATACTCCCGCGAAGGTTTGTGGCATAGTACGATTGCCATGAAACTTTGGAAAGTTTTTAAATTTTTTAATACACTCCCACAAAAAGTACATTTATCCTACGATAGATGGCACGCGTTTACACGAGCATTCGAGTAGTGTGTTCGATCGATTTCAAATTGTGAAGATCATTTCCCCCTTTCAAAAAATATCTCTATATATGCATTTGTTATTTACGATATTTGTAATAATTTTTGTTTAATCACTTTATTTCAACTTTTTTTTGCTAATTATGTATTCGCTCGAACTTCGTTAAAACCTTAACTGTACCCCGAACAACAACCGAAGTTGTAGGAAGAAATTCACGTATTTTACCGATCTAGGTATCCCCCCTTTTCCAAATTTTAATATCGATTCAAAATAATTTAAAAAGACAAATTACAATAAAACGGTTTATTATCCAACTATCAGAAATTTCACAACGTGCCAAGGAAGAGACGAAGGAGCAATTAAATAATTAAAATTATAAAGGATTAAAAAATATATATATAAAATTGGGAAATATCGCGCTTCTGACAATCGCTGCAAGTGTATGGGCTAAATTTGGAGAAACAGTGCTTCTGGCATGGAGAACTGTATGTGGCCGGCTCACGCGTCAGAAATTCTTCTGATTTATTCGTGTACGCACCAGACAGAAAAACAAAAAATATCGTATATCCACAAGCACTCCAATAAATAGAATTGAAACGACACTTTGAAATGTTTTCCCGATGAAAATCAATAATAATAATAAGTTTCAACAAAAATGATAAAATGTAAATTGAATTTTATCATAATGAGTTTGCTTGAATTTCCTTTCTTCTGAGATCGCAGCAATGCGCGATGGGTAAGCTAGTATAATTATATAATGATTGTGTATGGATATTAACTGAAAATAGAATTTATATTAGTTATATGAATATTGATATTACTGTTTACATACACAATCATTATATAAACTGTTACTGAAGAGATTCAGTAACAGTTTATATAATGATTGTGTATGTAAACAGTAATATCAATATTCCTCATATAACATAATAGTTAGGTTCCAAAAAAATGCTGTTATGCAAATCCATGCTATATGAAACAAAGGACTAATACAAACCATGGGGTTAGGTTCCGAAAGTTAACAAAGCATACTATTTTTTATATTACTAAGAGAAATATATTTATTATAGCAATTAATAATTTATTTTCAATCAATAATTAATTAACAATCACAATTAAAAGTACTGTATTACACACTAATATTAATTTTAGTTAAATGAGAGCATTTTGTTTTTACAAAGTATTGTCATCTTCTGAGCTTTTTCTGTTGCTTTCAATCAAAAATATCAGCAATATAGTAATATCTTCATTTTTTTTATTTTTACCATAAAAATTTTTTATGTATGACAAAATAAAAATGTTATTAATCAAAAATTTGTTCTGATAGACTGTGTTTGTTCAATTAAGGACTGAGAAATTTTTTCCAGAATTTGTGTTCAAATACTGAATTGTTCGAGTATCAAGATGCCAGTGTATTTCGTTCATCATTTTTATGAACAATTACTTACCTATGATTAAAAAAAGGTTAATAACACTTACCTAAAAATGTTTAAATAAACTTTACTAAATACAAAGATTAATCTATAAAAACAAAACACAGTGACAATCTTAAATGCTAAAATCTGAAAGCAACAATAACACCTGGTTGACAGGAAAGCTAGGACAAAGAAGTAAAAAATTGCACTATCAGTTTTCATTAAATCTATTGAAAGGCACAAAATTGAAAATTTCAATATTCTAAAATCAGTAAGCAAATTTGAGATAACATGCATTTTTTGCATGTTTACTTGAATAAAATACTTTGTTAACTTTGCATATTTACTTGAATAAAAAAATACTGAATAAAAGAGTTTGCACTTAAAAATAGTGAAATTTTATATGGAGGATTTCCCAAATTCTCAAATCTTAGAGTGAAACAGGAAATAGTGTTGTATGGGGGATTTTGCCAATTTTCAAATCATGTTAGAGTGAAACTGTGTTGTAGAAGTGTCAAATTATATGAGGAATACCTGTATTTGTTTATTTTTATTTTGGTTTGTTTATTGTATTTTCATCACTTCTTGTAACTTTTGTTTTTAACTTATTATGTTTCTTTATTACATTTAAAATATTTGCACTTTTTTCATATCAAAATTGATATGATACATTAAGATTTAAAAAAATTTTTGAATTTCAGAACAACAGATGTTCAACAGTTTCTATTTGATTCTGTTTTCAATGTAAAAGATGAAATCTAAGTGCTTAAAAAACATTAATCTGAAATAAGTTTTGAAATTCCTTTAATTGATTTTGTTTAATAAAGAAATCAATATTACATTTATCAGTTTATTGATAAATTTATTATTATTAGAAAACTAACAGTAGATTTCCCTATAATGGCAATTCAATCCTTACTTTTTTTATGTATCTTGTGAGGCCCCGGAAATAGCCCCCCGAAAAAAGGAAAGATATGTAAAAATTTGTTAAGTTAAACCTCAAGATAAAAAATTATATAAGTGTCAAATTGACGACACAGAACTTTTATGTCAATGTTCATAAAGAGTAAAGGGAAAAACAAAATTTTAGAAATAGAAAAAAAATTTAAAATTTAAAAGTTAATATGCAGTTTTGAAAGCAAAATGAAACTTGAAAAATATCAGGATGAGTGTGGGTGTCATAGTCATCGATAAAACGTGATCAGAGTCTAAAGAAAGGTGTCGAATAGACCATCTTTAGCCGACCTTTCTCACACCCTAAACGGAGCTCCATTGACACCTGGAGACAGGTGGGAGGCGAGAAGAAAAAGGTTTAACCAATTAGCAATGATTCAATCCTGAGAAAATGATAAAACTCCGACTTTAAGGACAAATAGGAGCTTTCACTAGACTACCTGTTGTGTTTGTTTGCCTCCCGTTATCGTGCTTCCTTTCATCTTTCGTGTACTGTTACTTCAGATCTCAAACTTTTCACTCAATGCTGTCACGGGGCCCCTCCAGTGTAGTCCAGATTGACTCCAAAAACAACTTCCAAAGCCAACCCAAAGTTCTGAACTTAAGGACCTTTGCTAAAAAAATATGTAAGCATTTTTTTTGACAAGAATAAATTGTCTTTTGCTGCCTCTTAAAACCACCACCCACATATGCGTAGACCTTAGAGCTATCCTGATGGTAGGGAATAAAATCCTCCCCAATTGGCGTTCTTACAATCTCCTACTGAAAAATTTACCATTTTACATTTTCATTTGTATATCACATCATAATAGCATACATGTCATATAAATACGTTTCATACAAATATCATTCATATATACAAATACATTATTGATGTGAAATGTGAGATTAGTCTTTATTCTCTGTTACAAATATGTGTTTTTTAAGATAAACGACTTCTAACAACTTAACACTGTGTTGAATAATAACAATCCACGAAAAACCTTTTTACAAGTGTTATGTCACTAATAAATTCCACAAGTACTTTCGACCTCCACCGAGGTCTGCTTCAGGTGGTGACTGGCTGTGTTTCGACCCGACTGTCGTAACGATGTTGCCAACAATGTAAATAAATAAATGTGCGCGTTGGGTTTCACCCCTCCGACCGACACTGTTTGAATTCCTCGAACAAATACTTCCACGCCTGTGCAAGCATTTTCCCATCCTTGTAGTTGATGCAGTTGCCCCCCCTGATAGCTTTATGAATCTCCCAGGCTTCCAGGTGACGGATGTGATCTGCACGGAACGCTTGTCTGATAAGTCTGGTGTTCCGGAAGTCCACCCTTATTTCCGGGTCAGTGACGTAGGTGGATAAGGCGGTGGTGTGTCTTTTATGTTTAATATCATCTTGGTGTTCACGTATTCGTTTCTGTGTTGACTGGATAGTGGAGCCAATATAAACTAAGTCCCTATTGAATCTGTCGTCCCTGATGGGAATGGAGTAAACACCTGGGGCCCTGGTGAGATCCATCGCGTCTTTGGTGTTGCGCAGCAGGTCGTAAAGCTAGCCAGTTCTTAAGTATGCGATTTTAATGCGGCTGTTGCTAGCAATCTCCCTATATAGGGGGTCTAAATGCTGGTTGAACTGGATGACGGCGCATCTAGCGTTCCTATCTGGTTGACAGTTGTCATCCGGCGATGGTAGGGGGCAGTCCCATCAGGGATGACAGATTCAATAGGGACTTAGTTTATATTGGCTCCACCATCCGGTCAACACAGAAACGAATACGTGAACACCAAGCTGATATTAAACATAAAAGACACACCACCGCCTTATCCACCTACGTCACTGACCTGGAAATAAGGGCAGACTTCCGGAACACCAGACTTATCAGACAAGCGTTCCGCGCGGATCACATCCGTCACCTGGAGGCCTGGGAGATTCATAAAGCTAT